AACATTCCTAAATATTTACACAATATAAACTGAACTAATTAAGTGTTCGGGAATAAAGGTGCTGCGCAAAAATCAATGTTTCCTATAGTCTGCAACCTTACACTTAATGGAGGAGTAAAACCAGTTCCTTCAACAGGACCTAGATCTGAGAAGATGTGTGCAGAGCTGCTTCAGAGGTAAATGGCCAGTAGAAATTTAATTCATTTTACACTGATAGCCTTTAACTTACCTGAGGGAAGCTATAAACAACTTGAAGATTACTGTGGAAAACCTGAAACCAGGTCATGTTATAGCCCAGTAATATTGCTTTTCTCCAAAAAAAAATGAAAACAAATAAAAGTTTATTTCTATCACTCAGTTCAAATCAATATCTAACCACTACAAAAACAAACAATAAGAAATCAACATCAAATATTTTTATTCCTTTATCTCAGAACCCCAGAAGTGGGCTCTCATCTTTCACGGATGCACTTATATTATTCTATATTTATATTATAATGAATCTATTTGTATTTAAAGATGTCATATGATTCTTGCTTGTAAGGCTGAAACAGTACACTTAAATACATGTTTACTCAATACTATAGTCCTAATTGAGGGCTGAAAGATAAAGCAGGTATAGCACCATAGCCTATACAGCTTACTTCTCTGTGCACTTTCCCAAGAGAATGAGAAACAGTGTTATACCCACACTTCTGCCCATACAGTGTATACTCATATGCCCTCCTAAACAATGTAACACAAAGCATTCATTTCCTAGTTTTTTTAATCCACAAGTTTTGTAACCAGCCATCTCACAATGATAAACAATTTACATTCCAAGGAATGAGAGACCTGTGTTCCACACACAAAACTCTCATTTTTTTTACATAAACATGACATAAGGAATCCTACTAATCGCAATTTAAGGTTACTCATTATCAATTGCCATCAAATCAATTTTGACTCATGGTGATCTTATGAATGAGTGACTACCAAATCACCCCGTTTTCAACAGTCCTGCTCATGTTCCAGAGCCGTGGCTTCCTCTAATGTGATCTTTCTCTTTTCCTACTGCCTTCTACCTTGTCTTTTCTACTGAAACATCTTCTCATGATGTGTTCGAAGTACAGGCAGTTCCCAAGTTATGAACAGAATCGGTTCTGTAGGTTTGTTCTTAAGTTGAATTTGTATGTTTTTAAGTGTAACTCCAGCCAAATATATGTACATATATTAGCTTTGGATAGCCTAGGGAAGGGTTAACACCCCTATTGTGTTTGTTTTGCTATCTGTGCCCCTGTTCAAAAGATTTCACCTCACTTTGATCATTCGATTTTGTGGAAACAAGGATTGGCGAGAAAGCGTCAGTGGAGACGCCTTTTCCCCATGATAACTCTTCTGGGAGTGAATTTCCCTTCAGAGGGGTAGATTTCTCTCACTTCCTGTTGTCTCACCCCTGTTCTTAACTATGAGTCATTTGTAAGTCGGATGTTTGTAACTTGGGGATTGCCTATATGACAATCTCAGTCATCTTGGCTTCTGTGGTAAATCCATGCTTGATTTGTTCAATACATTTGTCTTTTGTGGAAGTCTACAGAACTCTTCTCCAGCACCTCATGCCAAATGAGTTGATTATCTTTCTATCAGTTTTCTTCAGTGAGCTGTGACACTCCCTGAAAATCTTTCAAGAGACAATGGCAGCAGAATCACTGCTAATCTTCATTAGTGCTATGCAGAAGGAAACACCAGTAAACCACTTTTGAATGTTTTAACCAAGAAAACTCTATGATAACACAATCTAAATGTAGACGTACTAATAAATGAGTAAATATACCTGGGATAGTACTATTAAAAACGGCTTCTCTCACAAAGTTCCACAGTCACATCTGCTATCAGGGAGTGTCTGCTAAGAAGATCAACCACTAAGAGGGATAAAGTAGTGGCTAATCCTGCCTCCCAAACATTGCCTCTCTTTCTGGCCAATAGAACCCCAGTTCACCAGTGCAGAAAGGCAGACATGTACCTCAATATGTTCACTTTCTTAATAATGCTGTAGGCAAAAAGAGAATCATAGAATTGGAAAGGACATCATGGCCCATCCAGTCCAACCCCCTGCCAAGAAGAAGGAAAACTGCATTCAAAGCACCCCGACAAATGGCCATTCAGCCTCTGTTTAAAAGCCTCCAAAGAAGGCGCCTCCACCACACTCCGGGGCAGAGAGTTCCACTGCTGAACAGCTCCCACAGTCAGGAAGTTCTTCCTAATGTTCAGTTGGAATCTCCTTTCATGGAGTTTGAAGCCATTGTTCCACGTCCTAGTCTCCAGGGCAGCAGAGAACAAGCTTACTCCCTCCTCCCTTTGACTTCCTCTCACATACTTATACATGGCTGTCATGTCTCCTCTCAGCCTTCTTTTCTTCAGGCTAAACATGCCCAGCTCTTTAAGCTGCTCCTCATAGGGCTTGTTCTCCAGACCCTTGATCATTTTAGTCACCCTCCTCTGAACACATTCCAGCTTGTCAACATCTCCCTTCAACTGTGGTGCCCAGAATTGGGAAACAGTATGAAAGTGAGAAAGAAGGTGCAGTTAGCCTCTGTGCCAACTCACACAGTTTTTCTGGGCGATGTATTAAGAAGAATGGAAAAGAAGGAAATACTGTAGAGTCAAAGACTGTAAGAAAATTTGGCCTAGACTAAAAATAAAATGACGCAGAAGAATAACTGATTGAATGTTATGAAGCCAAACACATTGCAAACACAGTCTTTAACTTATCAAAGAGGTGAGTGTAATCATGGACATCATTTGATGGCCAAGCTAGAAATCCAATAGACTAAATTACAGGTAGCAAAAGATGGAAAGTTTTGTTTTTGCAGGCATAGTATCTCAGCAAAAACAAGATAAGGAGCATATTGTGGCACAGACCATGAAATGCGAATATAAAAAATTATAGAATAAAGCTAAAACAAATTTGCATTATTAATCCTAATTGACCAGGAGCCAGAGGACCTCTAGGCTGAAACCACATGCATTGTTAGGGAAGAATGCAGAAAGATATCTGCAGTCAAAGAGAAAAGAAGCCTCAGTAAAACATATAATCATAGAGTTGGAAGAGACCATATAGGCCATCCAATCCAACCCCCTGCCATGCAGGAAAAGTACAATCAAAGCACCTGTAAAAGATGAAACTTCTTAAGCATTTAAGGATAGATGAGAAGTAAAAGGGGTCTGAATGCAACTGTTCAGTGACTTATGCACAGGGTCAAAGTGAACTACTATAATAGCCAATGCAGAGAAACAGAAGATGACAACTAAAAAGGAAGAACATAAGCCCTCTTCCACAATGTCCAAGAAATCAAAGGGAACTATAAACAAAGAATAGAGGTGTCTTATGACCCACAGGGGAACACAAGTAGAAATAAAAAAAACCAATAGAAACAATAAACAGATGAAAAGATGACAGAGTCATTCAAGGAAGAACCATTTATAGATAAAGCTCCAATTTTAGAAGCTTTACTTAGGGAAAGTGACAATTGCAATGACAGAATACAGAGAAAGGGAATTATTTCCCATTGGTGATGGGAGGGAAGGCTGCATTTTATCACCTTATTTGTTTAATTTGTGCACTGAACATATCACGTTAAATATCACGTATTATTCCAAATCTATTCTGCTGTCCCTCACTTGGAAAACTGTGCCCAGTTCTGGGTGCCACAGTTCAAGAAGGATATTGACAAGTTGGGATACATCAAGAGAAGGGCGACTGTGCAGGTACAGCTGTACCAGGAGCTCCATTTTTGTTTGCTTTGCACTGAATGTTTGTTGTAGTCCTAAGTTTCAGGAACTCTGCAGCTAGGTGGCTTCTTTTGGCTGCAATCATAGGGCAAGCCACCTGTCAATTATAGTTAAGTTCCCTGGTCCCGCCCCCTTTTTGGGGTTTTGGAGGGAATAGGAGCCTTTTTTGGGTTCAGTTCACACAAAGAAGCTTTCCATGCAGGACATAATACCAAGAGCTCCTGTAGAAAGCTTCGTCTTCTACGGCTTGGCCGGGGAGATATACAGCCTACAGCTTGGCCGGGGTTATACAGCCCTACAGCTTGACTGGGGTTATACAGCCCACAGCTTGGCCAAGGATCATACACCCTTACAGCTCCTTTGCTGGGGGACTTCAGCCAGCCATCACTGAAAACTGAACTCCTTTTTCCCCGGAAGTCTACAAAGATCTGCTTGGTAAGGGTCGCTCGTGGAAGCCAGACGCAGTTGGTACCGGGTGCAGGGGCTCCATGCCAACAGAGGCAAAGACAGACTGCCCAGATTAGAAGTTAAGGATTTCCCCATTAGTTAAAATACCAGTCATGAAGATAGTGCCTGTTTGCAGTGGACAAGATTGAAAGAGCCTATAGACTGTTAAGAAAGCTTTAAAGTACCTGTTTGTTTTCCTTAATAAAGAACTTTGTTGAACCTTTAAGCAATCTAAAGACTCTGTTTTAAGGAAATCCAAAGGCCTTTAATCTGAGGCAGCCCCGGCGTCTCCTTTGGGCACACAGAATTTATGTCCTGTCTAAAGTCTTATGCACAGACCCAGCGTGCGACAGCACAGCGACCGAAAGGGTCAAAGGTTCGCTAACCAAGCCTAAAGAAAGAGCTGGATGTGCGAAAAGAAGGCTGAGAGATGGGACAACATAGGCCATGTTTAAATATTGGAGAAGATGTCATATTGAGGAGGGGGCAGGCTTTTTTTTCTGCTGCTCTGGAGACGAGGGCCCCTTCCACACAGCCATAGAAGGGTTCTGGCCGGATCTCTCTCTCTCCCTGTGAACTATCTAGGAGTTTAAGATCATCTGGGGGGGTTTATTCAGAGGCGTGAAAGGGGCCTAGGACAAGAAGCAATGGATCCACACTGCGAGGGGAAAGATCCCACCTAAACATTAGGAGGGACTTCCTGAAGGCAGTGGAGGGTGCTGCTGCTGCTGCTTGAGGATGCTGGGAGAGTCCCTCAGCCGGGGTGGCGCTTGCTTGCTTACCGCCGATGATGGTGCGGATGAGGGAGGCGTGTCCGGGGCAGTCCACCAGGGTGAGCTGCAGGAGGCCCGGCCCGGGCCCCAGGTGCGGGGGCAGCGGGGTGCAGAGGCAGGAGAAGCCCAGGTCCAGCGTGATGCCGCGGGCTCGGCTCTGCGGGGCCCGGTCGAAGGCGGCGGTGGAGCCCACCGTGCTCAGGGCCCGCGCCAAGGCCGTCTTCCCGCTGTCGATGTGGCCCAGGACGCCCACGTTCACGTTCAGCCGCCGAGGCGCCGAAGGAGAAGAGGAATCTGCCGCCATTCTGACACTCAGGGACCGGTCCGTTCCCGAACACCACCCCCGCGGCAACCGAGACCGCGCTCGGACCGTTCCGGCTGCAACACGGACCGCGCCTCTGAGAGAGTGTGCGGGTGTGGCTCTACCAAAAGTGTAGGTTGTCCTCAGCAACCTTCAGATTAGGTCCCCGATAAAACCTAGCATGAGCAAACCCCTTTGAAGAGACTGAGCAGGCCTGGGCCAACTTGGGCCCTCCAGGAGTTTTGGACTTCAACTCCCACCATTCCTCACAACATCATAGAATCATAGAATCATAGAATATAGAATCAAAGAGTTGGAAGAGACCTCATGGGCCATCCAGTCCAACCACCTGCCAAGAAGCAGGAATATTGCATTCAAATCACCCTGACAGATGGCCATCCAGCCTCTGTTTAAAAGCTTCCAAAGAAGGAGCCTCCACCACACTCCGGGGCAGAGAGTTCCACTGCTGAACGGCTCTCACAGTCAGGAAGTTCTTCCTAATGTTCAGGGTGATGTTATCATTATTATTATTATTATTATTATTATTATTATTATGTGTGGCTAAATAATAGATCAACAACCTACAGATTAGGTTCCCGATAAAACCTAGCATGAGCAAACTTTGGGAGGCCCCTTTGAAGAGACTGGACAGGCCTGGGCCAAGTTGGGCCCTCCAGGGGTTTTGGACTTCAACTCCTGCTTCAGCTGAGGGAGAAAAGGAAAGGGCCTGAGGTTGTGAGGAATGGTGGGAGTTGAAGTCCAAAACTCCTGGAGGGCCCAAGTTGGCCCAGGTCTGGTCCAGACTCGGAAATTCAAGACTCCTCATAACCTATTACCATAGCCATGTTGTTGTGTGCAGTCTGGGCCAGGCCTGGGCAAACTTCGGCCCTCTGGGTGTTTTGGACTTCAACTCCCACCATTCCTAACAGCCGGCAGGCTATTATGAATTGTGGGAGTTGAAGTCCAAAACACCTGGAGGGGCAAAGTTTGCCCATACCTGCCTAATAATAATAAATAAATAAATAAATAATAAACCATATCCTCAGCTGTTGCAAGAAAATTGCACAGACAGACTACAAAGACACAACTCTGTGGCCCAAATGATTCACTGGAACTTCTGTCACAAGTACTACCTGCCAGCAGCAAAGAATTGGTGAGATCATAAACCCACAAAGGTCATGGAAAATGAACATGCAAAAATACAGTGGGACTTTCGAATCCAGACTGACAAAGTTTTGGAACACAACATGCCAGACATCACGATTGTGGAAAAGAAAAAAGTCTGGATTATTGATGTTGCCATTGAGGAAAAACAATAGGAAAAACTTAGCCGCTATCAAGACCTCAAAATAAAACTGCAAAGGCTCTGGCACAAACCAGTACAGGTGGTCCCAGTGGTCATTGGTACACTGGGTGCTGTGCCAAAAGATCTCAGCCGGCATTTGGAAACAATAAACATCGACAAAATCACGATCTGTCAACTGCAAAAGGCCACCTTTACTTGGATCTGCGCGCATCATTCAAAAATAAATCACACACTCCTAGATGCTTGGGAAGTGTTCGACTTGTGATTTTGTGATACGAAATCCAGCATAGAGATCTCGTTTGCTGTGACATACTGTGCTTTTGTGTCAATAATAATAATAATAATAATTTTATTTTTCTACCCCGCCTCCATCTCCGCGAAGGGACTCAGGGCAGCTTACATGGGGCCATGCCCAGACAACATACAGTTAAAAACAGAACAACGAAATATAAAACAGCATAAAAACAACTTCATCATAAACAATAAAAGCAAGCAACATAAGCAACAACATAAGTACCTCTAATCTCATTTTTTGAGGGAAGGGATCAATATGCAAAATGAGTTAAAAGATAGGTTGGTCCAAAAAAAGGTGGATAGAACGAATTGTAGAATAGGAATAGAGCAATTATAACAGGATCATTACAGCTTAGCTTAAAAATATAGCAATCAAATATAGCCTTAGACTGGAGATGAGGTTCGAACCCCCACGCAGCCATGAAAACCTGCTAGCTAATTTGGGGCAAGTCACACTTCTCAGTTTCAGCGGGCAACAATGGCAAATCTTGCCAAGAAAACCCAATGATAGATTAGGGAAAGGCCCTTCCACACAGCCCTATATCCCAGAGTATAAAGACAGAAAATCCCACATGATCTGAGTATGGACTCAGATAACCCAGTTCAAAGCAGATAGTGTGGGATTTTCTGCCTTGATATTCTAAGATATAGAGCTGTGTGGAAGGGCCCTAAGTGACCATAAGTAGAAACAACTTGTAGCAGTCAACCCAGTGGCAAGGTGCTTTGCCTTCATCTGTGGCTGAGAGCGTGCGACACATCCAAGGTCATCCAGTGGGGTTCCATGTCAAGCAAATATGTACAGTACAAACCCCCACATTCAAAAAAGCCAGGGTCTGCCATTTCATTTAGCAGTTTTTGACAAAATATGCCCCCCCTATGCATTTTTGAGGTACTCCTAAGTTGTATTCTTGGGCCAGACATCCTTCTTTTCAAAACGGTATACTATATTTGTTGTTCACATATCTACGTGAAGACCAGGAGTGTATCCACGAATAGGGCTCCACAGCCATATACGGACCCACAGGAATATTGGAAGACAATCCTCCTCGGAAAACGAGGGATCGCCTAAGTAAGTAAGTAAAGTAAGTAATCCACGAATATGAGAATACTTCTGCACATATTTTTCCTTAGGTGCTCCTGTTTGTATGCAATGCAAGCAACATTAGCAGATGCCTATATTACATTACTATTCATATTTTTTAAGTTAAACTGAATTGATTCTGATCCTGTTAAATTGCTCTGTTTTCATGATATTTTTACTATGCTATTATACGTTTCTATCCATCTTATTGAACCACTTACCCTTTAATCAGCTTGCATATCGGCCTCCTCCAAAATTAGTCTGTTGTTGCTTGATGCTTGTTTATTATTGTTATGCTGTTTTATGCTATTTTAAATTGTAATTTGTTATTGTTCTGCTTTTAATTGTATGTTGCCTGTGCTTGGCCCCATGTAAGCCACTCCGAGTCGCCTCAGGGAGATGGAGGCGGGGTAGAAAAATAAAGTTCTTCTACTACTACTACTACTACTACTACTACTACTAAGAAAAGTCATGAAATATCTAGGTTTTAATTTATAGTAAATTCAAAGTGAAGAAGCCAAACTCAAGAAGAGTGATGCAGCTCTTCCAAACTGACTACAAAAACAGCCTGTCTATGAATGCTGAAAGTGGTCCTTCATAATATCTGCAACAGTACATCATGTAAGTACATCTCATAAGATTTTAGTGGATAAAGAAGCAACATAAATCCAAATGCAGCAAGAAGTGTCTATAGAATTGCAACATTGCTTGCATCAACCATCAAGAATTAGTCCTAGTGAAGAAAAGATTATGATTTATATGTATTTATAATTTTCCCCCCTGTTATTTCTACTTTTTTTTCAAGAATATTTCTTCAGACAACACATATGCTATTATTCATTTTTCATGTTAAGCTGAGAAAAAGTTGCAAGAGTGTTGAAGCCAGAACACAGATTGCCTAAAGGCTCTCATATAATTTACATCCAATGTAAAATAGCATATATAGTTACACTATATCATCAGGAAAAAAAACATTGAAAATCAGACTAACACTTCTCCCCCCTTTCATTGGCCATATAATTTAATCTGAAAGTAATCATGCGGAAAGTATTTGTACAGGCTTTGTCTCAATTGTCAACACTATTTTTAAGAGAATGCAAAAAGACTTTGTCATTCCTTTTAGGTTTGAAAGGCCTAAAATATAATTTGATATTGCACTAACCAGAAAAATAATACTGTTAAGAAAAATTGACCTGTTGGTCTTTGGGTTTAGTCGGCTTATTTCGCCAACATCTCTTCTCTTATTCTCTCGCCTCTGTTCTTGTGGGGTTTGTGTGTGTCTGAACAGCCAGCCCTCTTCAGCCCAATGTCATGCGATACCCAAGGAGGGAGCTGGAGACTTCAGCCTGGTTGTTGCTAGACTAAACGTTTGAGGTTACAGGACATAGTCTAGTTTCACATAAGCTTCCAAATTTCAGTGGGACATGCTGAACCCTGAAATTGTCAAATAGTATATTATTTTTGGAGAGAAGGAGGGTGTATGAGTGTGTGAATGACCTTCGCATTTTTAACCCATCCCAAAGGTCTGACTTCCTGCCCTTGATCCCATGAGTTTCTGGAAACTCTAGCAATTAATAGTAACATTTTGTAAAGGGGCAGCTCAATGTGTGGAAAAGGAAATTGGAGAGATGGGTGTTACATCTAATTAACAAAGAGGAGGAAAATGTTTTTGTGCCCTCTTCTGTTTCTTTATTTATGATTTGTAAGGGTTCTATTTTTGTAACCTTTCTAATAGCAAGTTTTGGGTGTCTCCCCCCACTTTCCACATCTTTGCTGGCGGTCCCTTTTGGAGGGTCCAGGAAACTAAACTTCAACTTTCTTGGCCTTTAAAAAAAGAAGGAATGTTCAGATTTACAGATACTTTTACATCTCACTGAACAGCAATAGAATTACTAAATGTTATCACTCAGCTTTTGTTCATTTATGTTCGTTTACTTTATTGTACTTATAACAAAAAAGATTCTTTTTTAAAAAATCAGTAGGATAACTTTTGTATATAATTAAGGTTTGTGCATGTATTATAACTAGAGCCCCATCCACACTGCCATATAATGTAGCGTGAAGCTGTATTATATTATCAGAGACTCATATAATGCAATTAAACTGCACTATGGCAGGATAGATTGGGCCTAGGCTTGTCAGGTCACAATTATCCCAGACTCCAAGATTTCAGGTCCAAAATGGATACCAAAGTGGATACCAAATGCTGGCATCCCTTACAGAAAACAACTCAAATGACTACTGCAGAAAGCATGAGAAACTGTGAAATGGCAGGAAGCCATGCCTACTCATCAATGTAGTATTCAATATGCGGCGAAATCAAGTTTTGCTTTGGGTATGTGTGTATGTATATGTGTGTGTATATATATATATATATTTCAATGCTTGATTGGTTGATTCTGTTGAAGCAGAACCTGTGGATACTGAGGGCTTGCTGTATTCAAAAATATAAAGGAATACTCAACCTTCCAACATGGAGAACAGAAAGAAAATCCCAGAATAAGCTTTCATTGGTTGCAGTCTACTTCATTCAGAAAGGTTTGTAATAGGTATTTTTCTCAGTCACCAAGCTATTAACAAGATTCCATTATATCTTTAAATACAAGTATAAGTTTATAATTGTTACTGTATATATATATATTTAAAGAAATGTAAGCACCTTACAGCCCACAAGGGCTCCTTGGACTGTTATCAAGCCATGGTAACCCCCTCCCCACCCCAATGCTTTATAGTTCACCAAGGACCAATATATGATTTTTCCTTCTTTATTAAAAAAGGTCGTTTCCAGAGGTCCAGAATAGCACAAGTTCAGGACTTCAGAAGATTGAGAACAGATCCAGCAGCAGCTGTACTCCTATTAAATATATCATATCTAACCCTTTAATAAATTGTATTTATTTTATTATTGTTGTGTAACTTGTATCTTTTAGCCATATACTGTATCTCTTTCCTGTATAAAATGTATAAATTACCTTGTAGAAATGTATCAAAATGCAGCCCGGAGACAGACACCCTCTGAGATAATCCCCTGAGAATAGGAAGGTTGGGCAAATCCCTCTGGCTATTTCCCAAGCCAGATAATCATCAGGCTCATTATGTACAGAAAGGTGATTTCCCCTGCCAGCAACATAAGCCAGATGTTGGTGTAATTCACCTGAGGTTGAGAGCCTGGTGCTCCGTCATGGGAACAGGAGCTTAAAGTGTGAACTTTCATTAACTCCATTGTTGACAGCCAAGCCCTTGCTTGCCTAGGACTGGCACCTTTGTCCTCCGAGTCTCACACCTTTATTTCTGGAGCTCCATATCTTTGTTTAACATGGAACTGAACAATTGAGCTACTCAAAAATTCATTAACATATAATTGGTATTATCTCCAAGATCGCTCCCTCTGCAGCTGATTGGTTCTTCACTCTGACCAATCTCCGGCTGCCATCCTCCCCGACAAGCAAATCCCTGCCTGGAAGCTGTGATGTCGATCAATCCCAGCAGGGAAAAGAGCCATCCTCTTTTCTGGCCAATCAGAGGAGGTGGCGGGAGGTTTGAATGGCTGTCAGAATTGTATAAGATGTCTTACATTCCCCGCATGTTTATGCTTGTACATTTTAAAGCAAATTACTTGTACCTGCATCCCTTCTGGCTGAATTGTAATAAATCTCTGTGGCTTATCTTCAACCTGATGAGTTGTTTTCTCTGTCCTGGCTTTTTTGGTTTAGCATACCCTCATCGGGCACAAATCCTCCTATCTGTGGTCCTGGCTAAATCACTTCAAGACAATGAACAAATGAAAACAATGAACAAAACAAGATGATTTACATGCAATATATTCAGGATATATTCATAGTGTACTTTTCAATTTGATGGGTGGAGTTTTTATGTCTTAATTTATAACTTTTAATATAGAAACAGATCAACAAGGCCATGTCTACTAGAAGTATGGCACAAGATTGTTGTACTGCTTGCAGCATTGAGTCTCGCGAACTAGTTTTTCTGATCAGCTATGTCAGTGGGCAGCTTGGTCTGAATAACCTCAGTCCTTTGTTATGGGAAACAACCATCCACTTCCATGGAGAAGGCCTAAAGCAACATACAGGTTCAACATCCATTATCTGAAAATCTGAAATACAATACTCCAAAATTAAAAAATTGTTCACATGGATGTGAGAAACTGACATCTTTGCTTTCTAATAGTTCAATGTGCATACACTTTTGTTTGATTCACAAAATTATTAGATATTATGTACCAAGAGGCTATGTGTACAGTGTATATATAATCAATTTTATATTTTGATTGGTTCCCACCTCCAAGACATATCATGATGTGTGTGTGTGCGCGCGCGTGTGTGTTCCATTATAAATATGAATCCAAAATACTTTTGGTCATAAGGATTTTGGATAAGGGATACCCAATTTGTATTGGCTGCTCCAGAAATATGCAGCATCACATGGGATGTGCTGTTTATAGGATCCAGCTATGCTGACATTTTTTATTATTTGCTAACTTGTCAACTATATCTAGTCACTGAATTTTAACACCAGATGAATAATAATAATAATAATAATAATAATAATAATAATAATGAATTTTATTTATATCCCACCCCTCCCCACAAGGACTCGGGGCGGCTCACAACGGAATCAAGTCACAATACATACATAAGCAGAAACTAAAAAGACAAGACACAATATATAACCAATACTCATAAACATAATGAGAAGACAGGAAAGCTTGGAGAAGATAATGATGCTGGGGGAAAAGGAAGGAAAAAGGAAGAGGGGCCAACCAAGGACAAGATGGATGGATGGTATCCTTGAAGTGACTGGTTTGACCTTGAAGGAGCTGGGGGTGATGATGGGCTGTCAGGGAGCTCTGGTGTGGGCTGGTCCATGAGGTCATAAAGAGTCAGAAGCGACTGAATGAATAAACAACAACCTCATAAATGAAAATTTTAAAAACAATATCACAAGAAATACACAGGTAAAAAATTGTATTGGGTTTAAAAATGTATTGCACTGCGGAGGCAAAAACTAGTTAAAACCAATAGGTATTGACAAGCCTGAAGACGAGAAGGCTGAAAGGAGACCATGTGTAAGTATGTGAGGGGAAGTCTTAGGGAGGAGGGAGCAAGCTTGTTTTCTGCTGCCCTGGAGACTAGGACGCAGAACAATGGTTTCAAATGACAGGAAAGGCAATTCCACCTGAACATGAGGAAGAACTTTCTGACTGTGAGAGCTATTCAGCATGGTTTGGTAACTGCACAATGGCAGACACGAAGGCACTCTAAAGGATCACCACTTCTGCACAGAGAATCATTAATTGCTCTTTCCCCTGTTTGGAAGACCTTTATAAGTCCTGTTGCTTTAAGAAAGTTCAGAACATTCTTGGGGATCCATTTCACCTGTCATTTTTTTTAATTATTGCCATCTTTCAGATGGTACAGGGTGACAAAGACAAGGAGAAGCAGACTGAGAGCTTTTTTCCTAGAGCTGTGGCTATGTTGAACTCAATAGTTTCACACTAATGTGGCATTGGGGGCAGTGTGGTGGTGGTTGGGGTGTGGAGGGATTGGTGTATTGTTTTGTGGTGTATGATGGGGAAGGCTTCAAACTACAGGGAAAGATATTCCACCTAAACATTGGGAAGAACTTCCAGAGAGATGTTCAGCAGTGGAACTCTCTGCCCCAGAGTGTGTTGGAGGCTTTTAAGCAGAGGCTGGATGGCCATCTGTCTAGGTTGATTTGAATGTGATTTTCCTGCTTCTTGACAGAAAGGGGTTGAACTGGATGGCCCACGAGCATTTTTTGGCTCTAAGCCTGGTAAAAGTTGTTCATTTGTTCAGTCATTTCCGACTCTTCGTGACTTCATGGACCAGCCCACGCCAGAGCTCCCTGTCGGTCGTCACCACTCCCAGTTCCTTCAAGGTCAATCCAGTCACTTCAAGGATTGCATCCATCCATCTTGCCCTTGGTCGGCCCCTCTTCCTTTTTCCTTCCATTTTCCCCAGCATAATTGTCTTCTCTAAGCTTTCCTTTCTTCCCATGATGTGGTCAAAGTACTTCATCTTGGCCTCTACTATCCTTCCCTGCAATGAGAAGTCGGGCTTTATTTCCTGAAGTATGGACTGGTTGGATCTTCTCGCAGTCCAAGGCACTCTCAGAACTTTCCTCCAACACCACAGCTCAAAAGCATTGATCTTCCTTTGCTCAGCATTCCTTGTGACCCAGCTCTCATATCCATAGTTGACTATGGGGAATACAATTGCTTTAACTATGCGGATCTTCGTTGCCAGTGTGATGTCTCTACTCCTCACTATTTTATCAAGATTAGTCATTGCTCTCCTCCCAAGAAATAAGTGTCTCCTGATTTTCTGTCTGCAGTCTGCGTCTGCAGTCATCTTTGCACCTAGAAATACAAAGTCTGTCACTGCCTCCACGTTTTCTCCTTCTATTTCCCAGTTGTCAATCATTCTTGTTACCATAATCTTTGTTTTTTGATGCAACCCAGCTTTTGCCCTTTCTTCTTTCACCTTGATTAGAAGATAAAAGTACAACGCCCTAATTCTTGTGCTGAGCCACCCTCAAAAGGCCCAATGCTAAATGATCTCCTCGCGCGGTACCTTCTTTCCTCAGTGCCAGGGTGACACCGGAGATCTTTCTACGCCGCACCAAGTCAACTTCTGTAGGCGGGGCTTGAACTGAGTGACAGCGGTCTCGTCCAATGGCCAGGGAGAATTCTCTGCCAGCAGCCAATGATTCGAAGGGGGCGGGGATACGGAACTCGAGCGCCGGGAGCCTTGGTAACGCGCGGCACATTTGCTTGTGAGCAGCGCGTGGGGCGGAGGCGAAGAGAGAGGCGTCGAGGATGAAGATCGAGGAGGTGAAGAGCACCTCGAAGACGCAGCGCATCGCCGCCCACAGCCATGTCAAGGGCCTGGGCCTGGACGAGGGCGGCGCGGCCAAGGCAGCGGCGGCGGGGCTGGTCGGGCAGGAGAACGCCAGGGAGGTGAGAAGGCCTCAGGCCAAGAAGGAGGCCCCTTTGAAGGGACTGAACAGGCCTGGGCCAACTTGGACCCTCCAGGAGTTTTGGACTTCAATTCCCACCATTCCTCACAGCCTCAGGCCCTTTCCTTTTCCCCCTCAGCCGCTTAAGCTTAAGCGGCTGAGGGGGAAAAGGAAGGGGCCTGAGGCTGTGAGGAATGGTGGGAATTGAAGTCCAAAACTCCTAGAGGGCCCAAGTTGGCCCAGGCCTGGTCCAGACCCACAAATTCAAGACTCCTCATAACCTGAGTGAAGGAAGATGCTTTTGAACTGTAGTGTTGGAGAAAAATTATTGGACTGGAAGAAGATCGAACCAGTCCATACTCCAGGAAATAATGCCTGACTGCTTACTGGAAGGAAGAATATTACAGGCAAAATTGAAGTACTTTGGCTACGTAATGAGAAGACAGGAAAGCTTGGAGAAGATAATAATGCTGGGGGAAAAGGAAAAGAGGTCAACCATGGGCAAGATGGATAGATGGCATCCATCTGGGCCAGAGTGAAGAGAGAGGGGGCCAGGGGACAGTTCCACCTTGTCTCCTGTGCTATTCTAATAATATAACATAATGTAATATAATATATTGTATATATGTATAATATTTATAATATTATAATGTAATGCAATCAAGTACTAATTGTTTTTGTCGTGTCAGGAGCGACTTGAGAAACTGCAAGTTGCTTCTGGTGTGAGAGAATTGGCCGTCTGCAAGGAAGTTGCCCAGGGGATGCCCAGATGAATTGATGTTTTTATCATCCTTGTGGGAGGCTTCTCTCATGCCCCCGCATGAGGAGCTGGAGGTGATAGAGGGAGCTCATCTGCCTCTCCCCGGATTCGAACCTGTGACCTATCGATCTTCAGTCCTGCCAGCACAGGGGCTTAACCCACTGCGCCACCGGGGGCTCCTTATAATACTAATAATAATATGATATTATAATTATATATTTATATTACATGTAATATTACTAATAATATTACAATATAGTGGTATAGTACAATATAGTAATATTTAATACTGATATTGTACTTTGCTAATAATATAATATATCGTATGTATATATATACACCTTGTAAGCCGCTCTGAGTCCCCTTCAGGGTGAGAAGGGTGGCATATAAATGTCGTAAATAAATAAATCCTTGAAGTAACTGGTTTGACCTTGAAGGACTTGGGGGTTGCCACAGCCGACAGGAAGCTCTGGCGTGGGCTGGTCCATGAGCTCATGAAGAGTTGGAAATGACTGAACGAATAAACAACAACAACAAAATCAGCCACTGATTGAGGTTCCAGGTTTTTACCTGCCACTTTTGGATTCTCACTTGCCGAAGTGTTCCTACGCCCATGATGGCGAACCTATGACACGTGTGTCAGCACTGACACGCATAGCCATTTTCGATGACATGCGGCCGCATACAGAGAAGACATTTCATCCTCGGCTCCTACACCAGCATTTTTCTATGATGCCGAGATATATGGCATTATAGAAAAAGCAGGTAACTTAAATAATTAGTTTTTGGTTTATTAAATACAGTTATATATTACAATAATATATTTTTGTTATTAAACTATAAATATAATGAAATTATGGGTTATTCTCGAAGTGACACCCCACTCGAGTTATGCTCGGTTTTTTGGCGAGTATTGACACACCAAACTCGAAAGGTTGCCCATCACTGTCCTACGCATATCTCTGTAGGTCTTAGGAGGCTATTTCTTGATTTAAGATATTGGCATGCTGGCTGGTATCTGTACAGAGGATGGGCCGAAGATGTCAATGCCTTGGTCCTTTCATTACTGGTTGCTACTTCCTGAAGGTTATCAGGTGGTACAATACTGGCTAAACAGTACAATGTCTCCAGTAGTAAAGGGCGTAGACATCCTGTGATAATGTGGGTGGTAATACATCCAGGCATCCCCTGGGCAACGTCTTTACAGATGGCTGATTCTCTCACACCAGAAGTGATTTGCAGTATACAATAAATCAAGTAACTTGTGTAGTTGCATACTCATATCCCATTCTAGGCACATTTTCATATATGTATGCTCCATATAACAAGTCTAGCTTCTTACAGAAGTTTTAACTTATTTCACTGTTGAATATCCCTGTGGGCAGAAAAATTGGGCTATTCCAACTCGATAGCCCCCTACGAGGATCTTCCTCCAGAGGCAAACCAAGAATGGGCAACTTGGAAGTCCCTGAAGAGACTCAGAAGTGGTGTTGAGAGATCAAAAGACAATCTGGCAAAATGGCAGTACCTAGAACAATCCTCCACCTTGTGCTGTTGTGGAGCAGAACAAACAACTCCGCATCTGTATGCTTGCCCACAATGCCCTGCCACATGCACAGAGGAAGAACTGTTTAAAGCTACAGACAATACAGTTGCTGTTGCCTGTTTTTGGTCTAAATTTTTAGCTGCTTGTGTTCCCTTTATTTTATCAGTTTTATACTCATTTATGCAATGCTTTTGACACAAAATAAATAAACTTATTTCACCATTGTAGCTCAGTTGTATACATTATATTAGTTAAGCATTGCTATAACCACCTAGCCAGAGAGGAGTTATGCCAGTTAACCAGCATTGCAGAGTGTTGCAAATAGCCTTAGAAGCCGGGATAAACTGTCTATAGAACTTTTCAACTGGAGAGGTGTACGTTTTTATTACTTTCGCTGTTATTTGCTTATATTGAGTAAGGAGTTGTGCATTATTGAATATTTGGGAAATAATAAAAGCTGGTTTATATAATAATAATTATCAAATTTATAATGGAATTACTAATCATGATCACAGTTTAGATTCAGGTTTTTATTCCACTTAGGAAACTCTTGTGAGCTGAGGAAGAATTGTATTTTCCCCAGTTCCTGTCTTCATCAGTCCATGGGGCCACCTGCCTTACTGTATCAGAGACTCTTTGAGCCTTCCAGAGCACATTTTAAAGAGTAGGGCACGATGGATTGAAAAAAAAATAAACAGAAAGATCTCCACCAGAAGACTCCTGGATCAAAATCTTTTTATGGAAGAATTACTTGTGAATGTAACCATTCATGTTTCTTATTAATTGTAGTATTCTGATTTTCTAGGCATGCGGTGTTATTGTGGAATTGATCAAAAGCAAGAAGATGGCCGGCAGAGCTGTGCTATTAGCAGGACCTCCTGGAACTGGCAAAGTATTTTTGCTTAATATTGTTTGTGAAAAATGCATTGTATTTTCCCCCATTGCAAGCACTGATTATATTGGTGTTTTGGTATGCGAATGTTGAATTCATGTATATTTGATTGATAGCAGGCCCTATGTTTTTATAATTTCTTATGTGTGGGAGTTAAGAATTGTCTTTCTAACTTGTTTGATCCATTTTCTGAACATACACACTGAATCTAAACATTTCTTAGTATAGTAGATTCCAGCATTGGGGATGGGGAGGGCGCACCTGCAGCATCATCCAAAGCGTCATTAGCAGCAGTGTCCCCTTGGCCAGTCGTATATGGGCAAGTGGATGGGAAAAGAGTTTTCTGAGGAACTTCATCACATTGTTTTGTATCAACTAAAGCTTATTTATATGTTGCAGTTTGGAAATGGAGCACCCAGTGGTGCAGTGGGTTAAACCTTTATGGCAGCAGGACTACTGACTGAAAGGTTGGGGGTTCAAACCCAAGGAGTGGGGTGAGCTCCCATCTGTTAGCTCCAGCTTCTCTTGGGGGGGGGCATGAGAGAAGCTTCCCACAAGATGGTAAAGCAGACAGCCAATTCTCTCACACTAGAAGCAACTTGCAGTTTCTGAAGTCACTCCTAACATGAAAAAAAAGTTTTGAAATCTTAATTTCACCTTAGCAAAATGCAGAAATTGAACATTTAATACTCAATATTATCTCATCCTGAAGAAGGAGAAAACAGCAATCCAGCTTTCAGGTCCCATAGAAGAAACCCATAATTTGTGGATGATCTCAGAGTGCATGCCTCCCAGCATGACAAAATGCCTTTTCATCATAGTCCCTCTGAAAATCGCAAATTGAAATAATATTGTGTGAGTTCCATTTTCTCTTCTGAGAGGGACTGCCATGAAAACCCTATTACTGGGAAATGTGTTTTGCCTTTTTGAGGGTCACTTGCCCATCTGAAACAGAGTCCAAAGTAAGCATTTTTGACAAATCTTGTAGTTTATGGACATCCTGTTTCTAATGTTATTTTGATTTACCTAAAATTTTTGGGATGTAGGTATATGGTGATGTCTTGTTCTTTTTTTCTAGACTGCTTTGGCACTAGCTATTGCACAGGAATTGGGTAGCAAAGTTCCTTTTTGCCCCATGGTTGGAAGTGAGGTATATTCTACTGAGATAAAGAAAACAGAAGTTTTGATGGAAAATTTCAGAAGAGCAATTGGTGAGTATTGTAAAAAAACAAAATAATTGTTAAGCTATATTTCTATTTTTAAGTTGAATAAAAACCATTTTTAGGAGTAGTTAAGAGCTTGTGCTCACAAGCTCTTAACTACTCCTAAAAATGGTGTATTGCAGGGATGGGCAACCCCCCAAGGGTTCAGGGCCATGCAAACCTGGGAGGGGAGCTACACTGAAACAAATATAATCTTACATCTCATTGATTTCTTCCTAGGATAGACCTGTGAAGTTTAAGCTTGTTGTGATAAATTCACACAGTTCATTTCAAGGTAATCACTCTAGATGGGGACCGATTTAGATATAATCCTGTGCTGGCATTTTTCTCAACTTGTGTCAGTTTGTTTGTACAAGATCTAGTAGCAACAAGATGAGTAGCCTCCCGATTAGGTTAATTTTCTCTTTAGTGTTTCTGGACTTATCAGCTGGATTGTTTTATGTTTCAGTTTGTCAGGAGAAACATTTGGATTTGCCAACAAAACATGCACCTAAAGTCTTCCTATGTTACTTACTGCTGACAGCTGATGAAACTGTCCTTCCAGATCTTTGGATTGCTTAAAGATAGCCTAATTGTTTTTATTATTGTGTCCAACATCCCTTAATTCCCCTGGGCTCTGTATCATGATTTACTACAGGCTTCATCTAAGTATTCAATGGCATTAAGGTGAAGAAATGTTTCCATCAGTCTTTGCAACTGGAAAAAGAGTGTCCCATTGATTTCTGTAGAAAAGAGACTTTCAGTCATCTGTGGTCTTCAAGTTACAGTTAAATTGGCAGCATTGAGGCGGAGAGAGTGCAGAGATGGAGAGAGCGCGGTCTGCAATATTTCCTTGATGTGATGAAGTTTTCTGTCGGATTTGGAAACTTGAACTGGCAGTTGAAATTTGTGTCATCCATGTTTGTCATTTCTAAAAGATAACAAGACTTTAACAACTAGCCACATTGTTGGTGCTCCACATTCCCTAGATGCCAGAATGGAGATGCTTCTAAACAAGTAATTAGTGTTAGTGAAAGATATAGGATTTTTTTTATATCCCATTTGTTGGATTTTGTGTCAGATTCACCTAGAACAAGTTATAATTAAAGCATTTCTTCGACTTTTTTTCCTTTTTGTTTTTAATGACTGACAATCCAAACATTTTCCAAAACCAGTAACTGCCTGAAATTTGTCCTCATTTTTATTTGGTTATCTTTTTTTGTTCTCAAATTTTAAAAACTTAAATGATGTTTTTAAACTATAAATTGTTTCCAATAATGCTTTGAAGAACAGTGTTCAGTGATTATATGAGGGAGTTATTAGAAAGAAGTGATATCTGTATAATTATATCTGCAATCCTCCAGTTGGTGTTTAAATTCATAGAACTGGAAGAGACCTTAAGGGCCACCCAGTCCAACTGCCACCATTCAGTATTACACAGTTGAAGCACCCCGGACAGATAGCCATCCAGCCTCTGCTTAAAAACCTTCAGAGAAGGAGACTCCACCAGGCTCTAAGGAGGCAGCATATTCCACTCCTGAATTGCTCTTACCATCAAGAAGGTTTTCTTAATGTTTAATAATTCTTTTTTCCTACAATTTGAATCCATTGCTCTGTATCCTAGTCTCCAGCAAAGTTACCATTTGTTAGAAGAGGCATATACTGTTTATGAGGTGAAGAAAAATGAAGGGCAATTTTCCCCATGTATAATTCTATAATTTTTCCCCATACTTAATACATTGTTTTGCTGTTTCTTCTTCTTTAAAAAGCAGAAGAAACAGCAAAAGAGCATATTTTTAAAAACGCGTGGTTCTTGAAAGCAATGGAGGAAGCCATTCTGTCCTCCCAAGGAGGAAGTTGTAACGCATGGGAGCAACCACTGAGAAGGCCCTCTCTTCTGTAAATGCACATAATATCCATGTATTTTGCATTATCTTTATAAAATCTGTTACAGTTTGTTAACTTCTTCCACAGCAGAGTTTTAAGTAACGAAGATGGCTTTACACATCAGTCTTCAGGAATCCTTCATTATAATGGAAGTGTTCTATTCTATTTGATTTGTCGTCGATCCACTCCTTCATGCAAATTTACCATTTGCCAAAATATGTGATCTTGTGCTTTTCTTTTCCATTTCTGGCCAAATAGGTTAAGCATTTGTTCGTCCCATTGAGTATGAGGTCTGCCCAAGGACTGCTTGTGGAAATGTGTAAAAATGGAAATGTTTAAAATTTAAATAATCAATATTTTATAGGATTGAGGATTAAAGAAACAAAAGAAGTTTATGAAGGTGAAGTCACAGAATTAACACCATGTGAGACTGAGAACCCCATGGGGGGATATGGCAAAACCATTAGTCATGTCATTATTGGGCTTAAAACTGCAAAAGGAACCAAGCAGTTGAAGGTAAGTATGTTGATTTCTCTTTCATATTACTGAGACTTTTGGCTTTTAATTCAAACTTTAAGGGAACTGTTCATGCATGGAACCTTACTGCAAGTAAATTCACTGTTTTGGACAGCTCCTTTAAAATTGGACTGAAACCTAGAAAACATTACCTCTCCATTGACATGGAAACTTCTCACTGCCACCAAGCTATCTATCTATCATACATTCATGCATTGGTCCGTTATTGCATTTTAATCCTTTCACATGGTTTCAGACAATAGCCTGACATTTCAAGTATATACAGTCTTGTAAACTGTAGTCTTGTACCCTCATGCAGTTCACTTACGCTGCAGTCCCCATAACTTGTCTATTTTAACTCATGATGAACTTCAGTTCCCATCAAATATAGCCAGGGTGATGCAGCTCACTATTAAGAAGGCTCACTCCCTCTGTGCAAACCTACCTGGGAATCAGGTTCCATTGAAGTCAAACAGGCTTACCTTGGAATACGGAGCCCCCGGTGGCGCAGTGGGTTAAACCCCTGTGCCAGCAGGACTGTAGACCGACAGGTCGCAGGTTCGAATCTGGGGAGAGGCGGATGAGCTCCCTCTATCAACTCCAGCTCCTCATGCAGGGACATGAGAGAAGCTTCCCACAAGGATGATAAAAAAACGTCAAATCATCCGGGCGTCCCCTGGGCAATGTCCTTGCAGACGGCCAATTCTCTCACACCAGAAGCGACTTGCAGTTTCTCAAGTCGCTCCTGACACGACAAAAAAAAGCAACCCTTGGAATACGCCTTGCTTGGCAAGGAAGTATTACTTGCACTCCGTTCCCCTTCAGTCTCCCTAGATTTTGCTTGGGGAAGATGAAAATACAGGAATTTATTGCTCCCTCGATTTTTATTTTAAACTACAACATACTTTTTAATGGAAGCCCTTATTTTGGAATTTTTGCATGATGCGTCTTTTTTTTTTTTTTTTTAATTCTTGGATTCTAGTTGGACCCCAGCATCTTTGAAAGTCTGCAGAAGGAAAGAGTAGAAGCTGGCGATGTGATTTACATTGAAGCAAACAGTGGAGCTGTCAAGGTAAAAGCAATGAAAGCAGTTACACCATAGATGTAGAGTGCCTTTTGACAGGGCTTCCCATCTTTGGTCAAAGTTCTGTTAACAAGAAAAACCGGGACTTTTCCCCCTCTGGCATGAAGTGAATGCCACCTCAAAGGAGGGGTGTTTGATTCACAAGAAAGGTCATCTAGTCTGGGAACTCCAGTTACAGCGGCATTGAATGTGATATTAATTTTAGTACTTAACTTTGTACTGGATGTGCTCATATGGGATATATAGAGAACATCTGAAACAATTTTAGTTGCGCTCATAAGAAATGCATGGAGGCTTTAATCTTTATCTCCCTAGTATTTTTGCCATAAGATATATGCATCTAGAAGGGAAAGCGGCATTAGTTAACATGCTGCTCATATCTGATTTAAAATGTAATGTAGAGAGATACTTGGTGTTAAATGGATGGGCATAATATTTTGTATCAAACAATAAATCATCCATTTCCAGAGGAGTCTGGGACAGTTTCTCCAATCTCTAGCTAATCTGCTAGATTTGTCCTTTAGCAAGAATTTTGTGCATTTGGAAAAATAAAGAAAATACCCAGAGCTTTTAGTAGGATTTCATGGACTGATCAGCCATCCGTTTCCCAAGGACAAGCCTGGCATTTTCAGAACTGTCAGCTAAAACCTGTCAGGATTGCAATTGTAAAACAAGACCTTTGTTTATCATTTCTGTGTCACTCTGAGTATTGGCAATAACACGGACTATAAATATAGTGTATGTGATTTCCAATTTTTTATCCACAGAGGCAAGGCAGGTGTGACACCTATGCAACAGAATTTGACCTTGAAGCGGAAGAATATGTACCTTTGCCAAAGGGAGATGTGCACAAGAAGAAAGAAATTATCCAGGATGTCACCCTGCATGACCTGGATGTCGCCAATGCCCGGCCCCAGGTACCAACCTCTCCTGATGGAATGAATGCTTCACATAGAAATCTTAATTGATATTTCCTTCTTTGTGGAAACAGGTGGTACTGCCCTATTGCTACAATAAAATAATGCTCTAATATTGCTTTCTAAGTCAGCCTTTCAAAAACATAAAAGCCTATAAAGCAGTGGCTCTCAAACTTTGTTTTGAATTCCTGTTATCTCTGATCATTGGCCTTGCAGTTTGAATTTTTTGAGAAGGATTAATCAAAAGCATATGTAATACTGAAAGAGCTTGGGATCTATTGTGAACTTAACCCAAAGAGCATCAACTGCTTGAAAGAAGACATGTAGACTTTTATAGTAAAGGGTGGATTTGAAAAATACCACAAATAAATAACACTGAAGTGTAGGTAGCAGAATCGGATGTCCGTTATGATGATCTAGAATATAGAGCACTCCAAAAATCCTAGGTAGATACAAAATCTATTTTCCAATTCAGTAAAGGCAATTGGCTGTCCATTGTGATTATGAAAACACTGTAAGTGACCTCAAATGAATTTGTGGAGACATGCCCTGAGAAGGGGTTGCTAAGACAGCCAAATTGTAACGGCTTCTAAATTTGTATGTATGTGTGTCACCCCACTCCCCAGATTCGAACCACCAACCTTTTGGTCAGCAGTCCTATTGACACAAGGTTTTAACCCATTGCACCGCTGGGGGCTCTTAGCTTCTAAACAATTGAAATTCACAAAATTGGTATCAGTCAGGAACTGAACCCAAAGAATTTGCATAGCTTGGCCAGTGCATGTTGATCAAATGAGTTAAGAGACTTTGCTAATTGGAAGTCTCTTAAATCTGCCTTTATTTCTTCAAGATAATTGTTCATTACTTTAAAACCGGATGTTATTGAACACCTGAAATGAACCTTTACACTGGATTATATTCTTCCTGACTCTTCTATATTCTACATGCCTTTAGGTGTGACTTTTATAAAAATACATTAACTTCCTGGTTTCTTTTTTGTAGGGTGGGCAGGATATACTCTCCATGATGGGACAGCTGATGAAGCCTAAAAAGACTGAAATCACAGGTAAAGACAAAAAATGCTACCTTTTCATGTTTCTTATATGTAAGTTCGCATCTTGGTGTCTTCTAGATTCACAAGATTGCCCCTATTTAAAAAGAGGCAATAGAAAGAGTAATCAAAATGTACAGAAGTTCTATTGTGCAGTGCCACTAAAACAGGCGGATTTGGAAGGAATGATCATTCATTCATTCATTCATTTACTGCATTTATATACTATCTCTCTCAGCCCGCAGGCAACTCGGGACGGTTTACATTTGGTACCAAGACCATAAAATACAATTTCAATATAATAAAACAATCGAATAACAAAACCATAACAGAGTCAATAAAATCAATAAAACCATGTATCTTTAGGGTTAGTTTTTTGCCACTGTGTGACATGCTACTTCATCACACTAGAGAATGAATCCACTTTAAATTCAGTTTCTGCCTCCTGCAGAATTCTGGAGTTTGTAGTTTAGTGAGGCTGTTAAAGGCTCCTCCCTAAACTGCAAACCCCAGAATTCTGCAGGAGGCAGCAACCAGATTTAAAGTGGGTTCATTCTCTAGTGTGATGAAGTTTTAAGAGTCTCACTTCAGTAGAAATGTGGACCAGTGGCAGTTGATGGTTTCCATTACTCTGGAGCAATATTCAGACCTTTAAAGAGGCCGTTAAAGCTGGTGAATACTGGCCTAGTCTTCCAATAGAATGAACACTGTAGATCACTCTTATAAAGTTTGGACTAAAAACTGCACGGAGGGGTTGTATAGTAGCTTGAGTTGCAACCAACTTCCAGAGGGATGAGCAGCAAAAGGTCTCCTAAAGTATTCTATTGGTGTTTTTTTCCTTATTCTAGAAGTTTTCTTTTATTCTTCCCTGGATTTTTATTCTCAGTATATTTTGCATTTGTTATATTAGTCCTGGATCCTTTTGATGCTCCAGATTAAAGTAGACTGATTGAGTCAGTGAGATTTCATAAGTGATGATCAAATATGGCTTACTCTTTATAGGGCTACTAATAGGATTCAAGCTTTGAGCTATAATTATATGTAGTGTAAAATAGCTTTTGTTTAGAATTCCAGTACATGACAATATATTAAGCTCTCAAAGTTTTTTTTTTCAAAATGCTAGACTGACCCAGGCCAAGAATGGAATTGTAGAGAAAAGTGGAAGAATCATGCATTTTGGCAGATAGCAAATAATGTAGGCTTGGGAGATTAAATATAGTAGTTTAAATGTTTATTTCACTGTTAACCTTCTTTTTAAATTATTTTTAAATTGGAATTAAGAGAATTCACTCCCTCTACAATGATGGCTCAAAACAATCTGCTGGGCAGTAATTAATTTAATTTAATTAATTAAATTTTGAGAAACAATTATCTCATTATTTTTCATTTTAAAGGAGCTAAACTAAAATGTAATGTTTCTCATATATTTGATTTGAGTGGGTTGGTCTTTCTTGGTTCAGTGGGGGATACTGGTAAGATGGTGCAAAAGGGACATTCTCCCATTATCAGTTACATTAGGGGTTTTATTCAAAAATAAATCGTTTGAGAAGGTTACTAATTTGGAGGTTTTCCCTCTGCTAGACAAACTTCGAGGGGAGATCAACAAAGTGGTGAATAAATACATTGACCAAGGCATTGCGGAGTTAGTCCCTGGAGTGCTCTTCGTGGACGAGGTTCACATGCTGGATATTGAGTGCTTTACGTATTTGCACCGAGCGCTGGAATCGTCTATTGCGCCGATTGTCATCTTTGCTTCTAACCGAGGGAATTGTGTAATCAGGTACAGTCCTTAAAGCTTAGTCCTGCACAGTTTTCGTCTTCCCATAAGCCTCAGTGTTAGCTGCTTCAGCACAAAGAGGTATGATCTTCCAAAGCTTTTTATCCCTGGTGCTGATACATCTGTGATAATGATCTTGATGGGTCACAACCATATCTGCGACTGCAGGGCTGCTTAAGGGCTTCACTGCAGGGGAAACACACTTCACATGGCGGTGACCAAGAATTAGTAAGTTTCTTGGCAAGAGCAGTTTCTCTTCCAGATTTCCCTTTTCCCTCTTTGTCTGTACATTTGCTTTGCTCTCCCTTCCCGAGAAATAGTCTGAGTCGTGATGCTAAGGCCCTTCCTTTTTTAGCACTCGCAGTAAGTGGCTGTGCTGTGCCTGTACCTTCTCCCTCCGTGTTGCAATCTTAGTTCAGGCTTATCTTTTAGTGAACGCAATCAGGTTTCTTTTTCTTACTGGCAGCTCTTAGTTTTGCTTTTCCAGTGATTTTGAGCTGCACTGCTCTGTTCATGAACAAGTTTTACTTTTGTGTTCCCTTCTTGGATTTTAACTGTTCCTGTTAGAGATTTAACCTTAACCTACATAATACTAGTTAACGGCTAAATATGAAACAGGTGACTTTCAAGTATTACTAGGATCATTTCTGTCTTTCCGTAAATCTGCTAATGATACCCTTCAAAGATCCACCCTGTTTTAGATTTTTATTTTTCCATCTCTTGTCTATATCTGCTTTATAATATTTTTTTTCCTAGAACTGCTAATTTAAGTATTTCGCTTTTCATATAGGTAATCAACCTTATTATTAATATTATTAAGGCAGTGAAGAGAATCAACACTGCATTAAAACAGTGACAACGCAGTAGATCGTTTTTGTGTTCATATAAAATAATTAAAACAAAAAATATTTTAACACATATAATCCAGTAGAAAATTAAAGAATTCTCAGTTTTTTTGCTATTCCTACCACCTTACTACAGCAAGCATGTCAAATGATAAGCGAGCCCCTTCTGATTACTGAATTTTTCATGTTTGGAATAAGAGATACAGATCTAATGGAGGAGCCCAAAACTACCACTGAGACTATAAATAGAATATTTATGTCAGTTGCTGCAAAAGCAGCATTTTGGTTCATGACTCAGTAAAATACACACATAGATGTATCTACCAAAAATGCTATGCCTGACTGTTGTGTAAATCTTGTGGAAGGTCTAATAGTGATATATATTTTGTTTGCATATGCATCATATTATTCTGTTTACATTGTTACTTGACCTGCACCCTTGACTTTTAGCCCGTTTTCTATTTTTGAAATTCTTAACGGGTTCTTCCACATTGAAGATCCTAAGAGAAAGTAATGAGTGTCCATGAACCAGTGGATAAATAGTATTATATTATTTTGCATCACTATGTATAAAAAGGTGGGTCCTAAATGACTGACTGCTTCCATTTGCACATTTCTTAGTGGAGAGGAAACACAGTCAGTCCACCTTCCTCTCTGGCATGTAGAGCACACTATAATGCATGTTATAATCCATCTTGAATTTTTTAAAAGTCAAGATACAGTGTCTCTCCAGATATTTTGAGTCGTGGCTTAGCAGTTGCCAGACCATAATGCCCTACGTTCTGTTATCCATTTTTGGTCTGCCTTTGTAGTTCTTAAGACTGTGATATTTTAAAATGGACCATACAACTACAGGTAATTTTTAGTCTTCAGATAAAAAGAATTACATTGGCACATCATGGATCCTTGCAAGGACCAGTAGCCTTGCCCCATGTTACATAGGTAGTATGATTGTGACTTTTCTTCTTCCTTTCAGTTTCTACCAAAATGAAATTTAATTCTGCTTTTCCAAAATATACATTGGTCCCATAGAGTGAAAACTCTTGTAGGCTTAATTTTCTTATATACTATGTGGCTCACTTGTAAAGACATTCTTGGATATCATTGTGGTGGGGAATATATGTGCTCAGTACTCTGTTTATTGCGAAAGGATGCCTCAACAATTTAATTGGGGGGAAAAGGGAGAAACAAATCAAGTTAAAATTGTAATACTAAGTTTGTGGCTTTCTTCCTGCCCGCAGTAGAATCTTTTTTAAAAAAATAATCACCTGAAATGAGAAATAGTTTCCGATGAAGCTCGGCTGCCCTCTAATGGAGAAGTATTCTGAAATCACTTTCTTGTTTTACATAGATAAGATGTTCTGATGGGGTGGGAGACAGGAGCATTCATCAGGCAAATGGTTCACAATATTTGCACTAAAACTGTAAATTAAGATACCTTGAGATGACAGATGATTTCTGCAGTCTTAGTCAGTAATTTGAATCCAAATTTATGGCTCTTAAGAGTAATATGATCCATTCCCCTTTGAGGAGTGGAGGCAGGATTTACAAGCCTGCCCCCTTGAGAGTACCAGGAGATATTCCTTCCTAAGAGTGCTGGAGGCAAACCTCCCCCTCCCTTTACCTGATACTGTATGAAGCCTAAACTTTCTCTTCATACCTTTTTAGAGGCACAGAAGATATAATCTCCCCTCATGGGATACCACTGGATCTTCTGGACAGAGTGATGATAATTAGGACTATGTTATATACACCACAGGAAATGAAGCAGGTAATTTTTATTTGTGTAAAATTGGGAGTGGGAGCATATGTCAAGAACTGTGTGTTAATTGGGTTGTGTGAAATAGAACTGGATCTTTGCCATTAACATATGACTTCTTTCAACATTTCATCTTTTTGTGATATTTTAAATTTTTTGCAGTATGCTGTTGACTAAATTTTACATCAGCAAGGCTCTTTCTTAGACCAGAACTGGACCAAGTATAAAATTAAACTTTTTTTACATTGTAAGAAATTGTGAAAGTTGTGGCTATTTCATTAAGTTACAGTTTATTCGATATTTTTCTGTCACATACTCAGCCAATTGAGATAGCATAGTGAAGTGACTTAAGGCAGAAATAAGACATAACTTCATTCAGATCCAAATATTCAAAAACACACAGTAGTTCAAAATCATGTAGCCAAAAGTCTTACTTCTTTGCCAAAAACTTACTGATGGAACCAGTAGAAAGCTTCTGCATGTTAATCTCCATGCAAACTAATATGTTGGACTGATTTCAGTTTATATGAAACCATATTTTCACTGTATTTAACATGTTGAAAATATTGTTTACAGTTCCTAATACTGTTTGAAGTTTTTAAATGTTATTTTATATCTAATCTAATGAATGAATGAATGAAAGGGTGTTGCTCAAGATGTTCTGTTTGTGCCCTCAGTAATCTGAGGATGTGTACCTTGAAATCTCTGAAATATATAATCTTTTTAAGCAAAAAGCTTTTTTGTTTGTGGAATTTACATTACTTTGAATGGCATCACTCTATTTTAGTATTTTGGACAGTATGCAATCATTACATCCTGATATGCAGCTTCTCTCTGTGCTTTAAATTCTGTATGTTTTATTCCTGTGTTTTTATGTTTGTCTTTATTTAGGAAGACCAGTTTCCTAGTACAGGTTGAGCATCCCTTATCCAAAATTCCCAAATCCAAAATGTTCAGTATGTTCAATATTTATATTCCGTCCTTCTCCCTCCAATGGGGACTCAGTGTAGACCACAGGACATACATATGTGGCAAACAATGCCATTTATGCATAGACAAGACAGACAATTGTACATAGGTAGTATAGATAGGTGTGGATAGATAGATAGATGGATGGATAGATAGGTAGGTAGCTGAGAGGGACACTTTTGCTTTCTGGTGGTTCAGTGTGTATAAAATCACCTTCAGGTTATGTGTATGAGCTGCATATGAAACACAAATGAATTTCGTGTTTGGACTTGGGTCCAACCCAAAGATATCAACCCCAATATTAAAAACTACCCCCCCCCCCCCAAAATAAATAATAATCCAAAGTGCTTCTGGTCTCAAGCATTTTGGATAAGTGCTATTCAACCTGTATTTTTTTTATTTCCCAATGAAATTTTTAGCATTAACAACTTTCCAGCATGTAGGGGAAGATTCCTCAAGTTTCCAGGAATTTGTTGTGAGGTGCAAATCGCTATACTAATATAAGATTATAATCCTTGTGTGCCATAATGAGGCATCTTTTCAAAGATCCCCTCTCATTAGTGTCTCAAGGCTGTTGATTGACACCGTACAGGAGCCATTAAGGTTTATCATGTCAATTCTTTGTATTATTTAGTAGATAGCGTCAGTGGCGGAAAGCATTGTCACTAGATAATAGTCTCAGCTGCTGGATAAGTGCCAAGGTGAAGCAGAGGCATTTATTGAATATAAACATAAAAGCAAAGCCTCATTTCCTTCAACATGTTTCCCCTTTTTAAAAAACATACTTGGAATGTTTTTATGTACCTAACAAGATGGCTGTAGCACCTTAATACAGATTACAGCAAAGGCGACCAGAGGGGAAAAAAAATGTACAATGAGATTGAATCTGTATTATTAGCATAAGAAGATCTTTCAAAAGTTCTGCCATTTTCCAGAACCCTGAAGGTTCAGCAAAGGCTACTTCACTGTCACTGACTCTGTGGCTTGCTCTTTCAGGGACACAAAGGAAAGGGAAAGATAGCAATATGTTATTTCAAGTTACTTAGCTTTTTATTAAGTATGTTATTATAAATTGTATATCATATTGGACCACCTTCAAGCTTTCCAAATGGGAACTGCCCACTGCTGAAAGGGTTTGGGCTGTGAGTTGTGTTTTGATCAACTTCTACTCACCTGCAAGAGAAATCCCTGCCAGATTGATTGTATGGAAGCACCGGCTCCTGCTTTAAGTGGGATATATAATAGCATTTAGTACTTCAGTGATACTGGGCCTCCTTCCTGGGGTTTTTAAATAGAAAATTGTGTCCACTGAATTAGTTTCTCTGTGAGGAAGAGTTAAGAGTAGTGTCGTTTCAGACTACTTAAATGTATGCTATAGGTAGGCAATCTTGTCACATTTTTCTAAGTACCTTATTGACTTAAAGATAGATATCTCTGGTTTTTCCTCACAGTTTCATTTCACAGTTTCTCCCACTTCTCCATTTCAATTGGACAATGTTTAGATTATGCAGCCAAATGTATTTAATTCTCAACTTGCGATTGTGTAATATCTGTATGCAATGGGAGAGAAAAAGAAGGACTTCCCTATCTCTCCACCCTCTGTCTGTAATTCCTCACTTTGTCCATCTAAACTAAGATGTTTCCAAACAATATTATTTACTGGATCAGAAAGAGTGGCTCTAAGTCATTCAGGTGCCTATTCAAGTACTAGGGGGCCTTCCTTTCAATCTGCTATTGCTTTCAATGGAGCCCTCGGTGACGCAGTAGGTTAACGCACTGAGCTGCTGAACTTGCTGACCGAAAGGTTGCAGGTTCAAATGCAACCTTTCCGTGAGCTCCCGCTGTTAGGCTCAGCTTCTTCCAACCTAGCAGTTTGAAAACATGCAAATGGGAGTAGATCAATAGGTACCACTTTGGCAGGAAGGTAATGGTTCTCCATGCAGTCATGCCGGCCACATGACCTTGGAGGTGTCTATGGACAACGCCGGCTCTTCAGCTTAGAAATGGAGATGAGCACCAACCCCTCAGAGTTGGACACGACTGGACTTAATGTCAGGGGAAAACCTTTACCTTTTACCTTATTTATTTTAATGGAATGCTAATTTAAATGTATGTTCAAAGTGGTTCATTCTTTTAGAAACAATGCAGATTTCTTCCAGACTTGAGTTTGCATTTGCCCCGTTTATCCTGTTCCTTTTATTGCAGGTAGGGGAATTGGCCCTCACAATTCTGAAAAATCCTGCATATATGAAGAATTGGACTTTGATTCCCAGAGTCAGATTCCCCACTGTTAGACACACAGAGAACTTTTTGAACTGCAACACAGTCCACTTCTTTTACAAATTTCTAAGGATGTTGCTCTTGTAATTCATATTGATACTTCATTCATGCATATGGACCTGAAAGACAGGATAGCAAAATATTTTGACTGTGTTAAAAATAACATTTTACTGTACATAAATTACAGTAGATTTAGAAACTGGGCTCAGTGTCTATCCATTTTCTCACACAAAAACGTACGTGTGACACAGACATATCCCTTGCAAAACTTCAAATTTTGTATTAGTCTCTATTGTAATTCCTAAAGAATGGGTTCATCTCAACAGTATTCAGTGAGTGAATTTCTTGATTTATTATTGGAATAGCAAAACCAATGCTATTAACTATTATTAACTATTTTGAAACTTTCCTGAGATTGTCATGAGTCTTTGCGGATTGTTGATCCACAAACACAGGTCCAATATGCAATGTTTTATATCAAAGACAAGTCTTAGATAGGAAGATGGGATTAGTTGCCATTTGTTAGAAAAGCGGGGGGGGGGGGGGGGGGGGGAGTAAATATATGTACAAGTTTTCCAAAAGTAACTTAACATTACAGTGTTCTTTTTTTGAAAACCAAAAAGCCCACAGCCTCTATGTCAGGCCTGGTTCTGTGCTCAACCCTCCCTCTTTTCCACACACTGATTCCCGCGGTGCATTTTTATGGCTTTAATTTAAACGAGTGCTTCTTGATATCTTGTTTACAAAGCTGCCAAAGTGAAAAATACCTGTATTATATGAGACTCGCAGTTCCAGAGTTATCTTAACACTACAACGCAACATCATTATCCAGTCTGCCCCTTATCACTCAGCTGGTAATACGGACTGCAGGGAGCCTAGTGCCACTTTTGTTACAGCTCTATGTGCTCAGGCTTATTGGCGATATCTTCCTCTTCTTCTTCTTCGTCTTCAAGTTTACAAAGATCTTCAAACTGGTACAAGCTGGAGACTGTTCTTGATAGATTAGATTTATCTGAGTGGTTTTTGTGGGGCAGGTGAACCTTACAAGCTTTTATTTATTTATTTTCCCATCCTATTTATCAAGAGGCTAAAACATCTGCTATGGAGTTGAGCAGCAAAAAGAGTGCTGTAACTTTCCAGGGGAATTGTGTTATACAATATTCCAGGTGTGGTAATGCTGGTCATTTATTTTCTCACTCAAATCATGTACAGGCCCCATCTTTCTCTTCATTTGGGGAATAAAAGGAAGTTTAAATCAGTGTCCTCAAATATTCTCCCTTTTATCACCATGAGAAGTCCCTACCTTGGTCCCTGTTCTCAACCAGATGCAGTAAAATTTGAAATTAAACTAAATTTAGCTTTGTTTGAACTATATTTTTTATATATAAAAGATCATTACACGCTGTGCACTCAGTTTTGGGAAAGCATTGGAAAAAATAGAACTGTTGAATATATATTTTTGTCATATTTTTTATTAGATCATAAAACTTCGAGCTCAAACAGAGAGTATTAATATTAGTGAAGAGGCACTGAATCATCTTGGAGAAATTGGCACCAAAACAACATTAAGGTAAGCATGAGGAGTATGAAATTGTAGTTTTTACAGTTTTTGCAGAGACCATGAATGTAGGCATGGACAGATAGCTGTAGAGTAACCATTTCTAGTGGAATATTTCATCCTCATCACTGATAAAACTCCAAATCTGGATAATTATTCTCACCATGGCAGCTATCAGAATAAAATCCTTTTAATGCTTGTGGTTGTATTGTTTCCAGGGTTGTACAGCAGTGGCAAGGAAAGACATACAACATCTCACTCTGAGCAGCCTATTTCTCCAGTTCCTTACTTCCTTCATAGTCACCACAGTCTTTTTCCTTCTGTCTATGTTGCCATAATACACTGTGATATGATTCTGCACTGAGAGTGGTAACTCTCAGTGCAGAATCATATCATATTATTAATGCACAAAAATTAACAGATATAAATATACTCAGGACAGATTTATAACCGAGAAAACACTTTGTAGAAATTATTGATCATACAGTTAATGAGCAGAGTTGAACTTCTCTTAAGCTTCCTTTCGCCCACATCTATGGGAGGCATCCTCAGAGGTTGAGATGTGAGTGAAATGTCAGGTGAAAATGCTTCTGGAACATGGCTATACAGCCCAGAAAACTCCCAGCAACCCAGTGGTTCCAGCCATGAAAGCCTTTGACAACACATTGATTCTTCATTGTTACAGGACTCCAATAATAGCCATTTCTGAACTTCTTGAGATATGTCTCCTGTTTCTCCTCAAATCTCTTTGTACCCACACATTCATGATTGTGGGATTCACACCTACAGGCGTCATATCAAATTAAAATAGCTGTTGCTAAACAGAGTTCCATAAATGTAATGCAACATGCTCATGGATTAAGCTACAAATGATAGGCAATTGTAGTAACAATTCTTGTCTTTCCTACTCTGTGGCCTCTAGAAATATCCATTTATGATATCTTAATTAAAATTAGGATATTTGTAACAAAACCTTAAATCCTATAAATCTTTGCAAGCCGTTAAGTGCCATGCAGATAGGTGCTAGTCAGTATAACTTGGAGGAATGAGATGGAAAAACCATGTAAATATTACCATGTAGCCAGACTGATTCTGAAGTCTTTTACAAACAAATTTGCCCTTCCACATCGTATATTGCATTTGAAATTCACATTGTTTTTGGTGAGCTGAGATTGGAGTGTGCTTCACTGCAAAAAGTCAAACTTTTGGATGTATCTTAAATAAATCTTGGACTGTTGATCTAAATATTTAATTTCCCCAATTACCATACAAAATGTAGTAGGCACTTCTGGAGACCAGATTTATGTATTCATAATGAAAACTATATATGGCTGCTCTTTTGGTGTATTGTCTGTATTCTAGGTTAATTTCCCACTTACTCTTATTATTTGACTACAGGTATGCTGTGCAGTTACTCACCCCAGCAAATCTTCTAGCAAAGATAAATGGGAAAGACAGCATAGAGAAGGAACATGTCGAAGAAATAAATGAACTCTTCTATGATGCCAAATCCTCAGCAAAAATCCTGGCTGATCAGCAGGAGAAATATATGAAGTGAAGATGTTTTTTCATCTTTGTAGTCTTCAGATCTTCATATTAACTCAAAACCAGTGACTGGAAGAAAACAGCCAAGAGAAATGTTACCTTTCATTGAACCTGAGAAGCTCCTAAATAACAAAATAGTATTTTCTGGCAAGATGTAGAATCTTTTGTCTTCTCTTTTACTCAGATTGAGAGCTAATGCTCTTGTAGCATCCTAGTGTTTGCAATCTTGGGTGTCTCTATGGATACATTCATAAAGGTTTAATGGCTAAACTACTCAAAATAAGCAGGTAATGATCTGTGCTCTTTGAATTTTATATTAAAAGTAATTGGAAAGCTGTTTATTGTTTGGCTTGATTGCTTAAAGAGGTCTGACTAATGGGAACATTTTATTGAGTTGTAGTCTCGTCAACAAAGAATAACCTAGTAAAGATATATTCTTGCCTATTTTTAATGTTCTGGGACAAAAACTGAAGCATCACTTGACTTGAGTTTTTCGATAAAGGGGTGCACATTAAACAGTGATGTTGCAAAGGAATCAAGGAATCAGAGATTATGGAAGAGACTCCAAGGGTCATCTTGCCCAACTCCATTCTGCCATGAAGGAAAACAAATTAAAGCACCCCTGACAGATGGCCATCCAGTCTCTGCTTAAAAACCTCCAGAGAAGGAGATTCCAGGCAGTATAATCTACTGTTAACCGGCTCTTACTGTCAGGAAGTTCTTCCTCATGTTTAGGTGGGATCACTTCCTGTAATTTGGAGAAGATGAAGCTTGGGTGGTTTGGACTGCTTCCTAATTGGGCATTTAGTTCAAGCCCTTCCTTCCTCCCCTTTTCTCTTAGTCTATGTCAGGCAATGCTGGATGATGGCAAGGAATCTCACCCATGCTCTAGAGTACTGTGCATTAGGGATGAGGTGTTGTTCAGTAAATATACTTTCCATTTATTCTCTTTGTCTGGAGCAATGATGAGAATAGGCTTCCAATGCAAACTGGTAATTTCACTGTGTTTGTCTCTCTGAAACTCCCATTTCTGGTGATTGCTTATATTCAGCTGCATCTCATGAAGAGTGACCAGTCACTGCTTGTATTTCCTTGACAGGAAATCTGCAAACCAATGTTTTGTGTGTGAGGGATGACTGACTTTTCTTTGGTCTAAAATGTGAACTACCAAGTTCATTAGAAGGTACACTTAAAATGAAAGGTGCTATCATCTCACCCTATTCCACTCCTGGCAGCACACATCTAGAGGCTAATATTTATTTATTATTATTCATTTCAAACATTTGTATCCTGTCCTTCTCAACCCGAGGGAGGACTCGTTGCGGCTTACAACGGCAACAATTTGATGCCAATACATAAAAACACAATACAAGACGTAACAGAGTAGGTAAAACCATTAGGCTAAAATCCATTTAAAACATTATTATCAACCATATTGTCATATCCAAGTCTGATTCAGCGACCAACAACCCAATCCAAAGCCTGTTCATAGTCTGTTCTAAAACATTGTGATTGCTGTCAAGCCTGTTACCCAAATGCCTGGTCCCAAAAATTGATTATTATTTAGATAATAATCAGGTTTTACCTCTGATAAAACATGTATCTAATTCTAATTTTATCTATTTTGATTTTGATATTGTTAGGGAATACTGGGAAAGCAACTTCCTGCTTTCACTGAATATTAATAGCTAGAAAATGGCCAGGAAAAATGCAAACCGATGATACAAAGGGTTAACAATCCTTGAATGCTAAATGATACCTGAATGTTTATCTGGTCTATTAAGAGATGGCCATTGAAATTACTGGTGTCAAAGCATTGTCCAGGAAAATGACTGTCATATATCTGATAAAATGTGCAATTGAAAAAATAACAGCACCACACTGTAACTTTCATTTAAAATCAATAGTCAAAATAAGAAGGTACTTATATAGGGAGGGCAGGGTGATCAAGAAAGTGAGGAAAATCCCATCTTGGTTATGGTTTGTAATTAAATGTGAAAAAAATTGCTGCATTATTTTAATTCAGCTCTGCTCATTTCCCACAAGTGCTGCACTTATTGCATTAATCTTCCCTGCGAAGTTTTTACGACCGATTGCCTGCAGACTATCAGAAGTTTCTCCATCCATTAACCACCGAGAAACGGGCCTTGCTGGGTAGGAAAATATTTGTTACATCTTATCAGGGTGACACATAATCTAACAACAATTACAGCAGGCCCATATTTTGTACTATTTCAGTTTCAGTGTGAAAAATAGTTCTAATATTAAACCTGGAGTGGGTGGGTGCTATAGTAACCAGCTGAATATTATACGCTCGGCACTTGTGATTTTCCCTTCAAGTTGTCGGTCTTGGGATCCTGCCCTAAGCAAGTGAGTACGTTATAAATCCTGTGTACATGGGCTGTATGCAAATTATACTGCATGTGCTGGAAGGATGAGTCCATCCATATCCATATGAATTGCTGAAATGGCATTCTCCTTGTGCTTTATGCTTCTGTTAATGTAAAAGCTCTTCTAGGCACTTCAGGTCAAGCTCATTCTTTCAAAGGTTAAGCATGCACCAAATGTGTGCCCACCCTTCCCTTCTTCCCTGCATGGGGAACACAACATAAAAGCTGTGATTATCTTAGAGTCTTTTCCTGCATATTACTGATGAATGAAATAGCGAATAGATCTAAACGCAACTTTGCTGCTCAAATCTGATACAACCTTGTTTTATCAGAAAAATATACAGAAAATAGGCACATCATTTGGTAGCAGCTATTTGTCATCTTTAAGGCAATACTGAAGCCTGGACCTAGATCCCATCTGCTACAAGTAAAGTTTTGCTGATGGAATCGGGCTTTTGCGCATTACACCACCTGAAAATCCAACACAAGTGTTGGTGGACATTTTGAAAGAGCATGGAATGTGGCCTGTGGCACTGAAGCAAAAAAAGGTGATCAATACAACTCTGTATTTCCCCCAAATGCAAGCAGAAATTAATAATAATAACAACAACTACAAGGAAAGAAACTACAAGGAAATAGAATGTTCTGTTTGGGTCACTGCTTTCTCTTGCTGAATAAGCATGTGATTACTGAAACTGAGAAAACCTTGTCCCTTCAGTAGTGGCAATTTCTGTGATTTTAAAACAGTGAAAACTACCATATGCCACGCAGCTGTGAATAAGTCTACATAGGGACCACCAAATGCAGCATTGCCCAAACACGAATCAAGGAACATGAAAGGCACTGCAGACTACTTCAACCAGAGAAGTCAGCCATAGCAGAGCACCTGATGAACCAACCTGAACACAGCATATTATTTGAGAACACAGAAATGCTAGACCACTCTAACAACCACCATGTCAGACTACACAGAGAAGCCATTGAAATCTACAAGCATGTGGACAATTTCAACAGAAAGGAGAAAACCATGAAAATGAACAACATCTAGCTACCAGTATTAAAAAACTAAAAAAATAAAACAGTAAATCAAGAACAACACTCAAAAACGGGGGAATTCCAGACAGGAAACAATCAGGGACAGCTAATTACCTCCCAACAAAGGATTCCCCCAGGCAGTAAGCAGCCAGACCTTGAAATTGCAAGGCTATTAAATGCTAATCAAGGTGGCCAGTTACAACATTCACACCTGCCTCAAGCAGACAAGAGTTGTTTCTCCCACCCTGGACATTCCACAGGTATATAAACTCCATTTCCTAGTTTCCAAAAGACCTCACAACCTCTGGGGATGCATGCCATAGATGCAGGCGAAATGTCAGTACAGAATGTTTCTGGAACATGGTCATATAGCCCGGAAATAACACAGCAACCCAATAAAAACACCATAGCTGCCATCTTTTCTTGGCAAAGTCACTTCTTTATTGAACTAATTGGACTGAGACTGACAATTGCCCAGTAATGTGTTCAAATTGCTTTAGAGATGTGCTACTCTTAATTTCTCTGTCACCTGTAGAAGTTGAGGTGATTGGTACTGTCAATCCTATTTCATATTCAGCACCCTTGCTGTGAAAACTTCATAAAGGAGTCTGCCTTATGCAGAAATCCAAAATACTCCAAACCCAAACTTCTTTATTGCAATCTGCACACTTCCTTCTTTGGGGAAGGGGCCAGTCACACACCCAGTGCCCACTTTGTGTGTGTGGGGGGGGGGGGKAGTTATCTCAAGAAGCCCTGGTGGGGAAAGAGAAGAAAGGGAAGCTGGGAGGACTCCACTTACACAAAAGACCTGAGAAAAGCAGATGTCCCAGATGCTTCCACACCTGCCTTTGACCTGACCATTATCAATGCTGGGGAGAGGGCATCCTAGAAATGGCCACAAGTTCAAAGCAACCCAATTGGCCTATATCCAGCCCAGAGAGAATGAAAAACACTCATGAGGTGAAAGGGGAGGGTTTTCCCCTCCCTTCCCAGCTATTTCACTAAAATAGCAGAAAGTATGCAGGCAGCCAGGAAAGTTTCTTGAGAAAAAACTCAGAAGGGGGTGGACCTGTGACTAACCCACTTTCCCTCTAACCCTCATTCCAAAGATTCTATTCCAAAGGGACTATGCCTTTAAGGATTCAGGTGCTCCTGCATGCCCCCCACCCTATTGTGGCCAGTGAAAATGGGATACTGGAGAAGCATCCAGCTGTTTGCCTATAACTGATCCACCCAATGACATCATCCTCCAGGGATCTTGCAGATCATAGGAAGCCCCAGCGAATGCTCTACTGTTCCCTGCTCTCCATTGGTCACTAAATGGTTATGAGAGAGCACCATGAAACAGGTGGTGTGGTGGAAGTTTGGTAGAGCTTCTCCATCACTATAGGGAGAAGGTATCTATGGGATGTCAAGAGCTTGGTTCTTTCAATACTCAAGTACTGAAAAAGCCAAATTCTGAGGCCAAGATATTGATAACACAACTTCCAATGCATGCATTTTCACAGATAGCCTCTGGAGACTTGCTGTAAACTAAAATGGAAGCTGAAATTGAAACATTAAGTTCTTATACTCCTATGTAACTAAGCATAGGAGTATTATTAAAAGGAATTGGAGGAGGAAAATTATAAGGAGGAGGAGAAAAAATAGATACAAGCATGCTTCAGTTAACAGAGCTACGAACCAAAACAGTGCTCTTTTTTTTTTACAAAGCATAATACCTCCCTCTCTCTTTTTCCTTGTGCCCTCTGTCTTGCTAGAATTTTTTCTTAGTAGCATCACTATTGGAAAGATAGGGAAGATCTCAGACTTTCAGGCTCGTTTACAGAAGCATGTCTGCAGTAAATAATACAAGAGACAGAGTCTGACCTGGAATAGAATTATGTTTTGACCCAGGCAATGGTAGCTGTGT